CACTAATGTCTAGGAGATTGTGAGTCCTGACACTTTCCCTGAAGGCTGCAAGGGAGTATTGTGTTAACGCAGTTTCTTGGTCCAAACACAGATACATAAAGCCTTACAGAGAACAGCAGCACCAAGCTTATTTCTAACTTCAATGCTTCGTACTTTCCTAGGCCTCTCTTTTTTTGAACAGTTTTAGGTAAACTCCATGACAGTGCTTTGTCAGTTACCAGTACTAGAAAGCAGGTAAAAACAGAAAGTCACTAGCAAGTATGCGTAGCACTAACAGACTGAAATATATTTTTATGAGGAAGTAATCAACAATTAAGGAATGAAAAATGCCAAATCACGGCAGTGGTTTTCAGCATAGGCTCTGAGCCAGAGAGAACTTGGATCCAGCTCCCTCACCTGCTGTGTGACCTTAGGACATTATTTAACATCTCTGAACCTCAGTTTCCTCCTCTTTAACATAGGAACAATAATAGTACCTGTTTTATGGAATGGTAGAAAGGATTAAACTAAATTATTTAAGAAAAGCAGTAAAATACCTGCCACACAATTATGAAAGTGTTAGCTACTTTTATAATAATAATTATTATTACCACCATTACTAGTTATAATTAGGACATCCTTTTCAAAGGCAGTATTTGAATTTAACTTGTATGTCATCAGATCTGGAAGTATAATAAGGGTATATACAATTCCTACCAAGTTAGTGAGTCAAACAGAAAATCAAAACAAATTAAATCATTCAACTAGTGTATTTAGAATTGCTGATGATTAAAGCATTCAAGAAAGTTAGTGAAATACATAAATTGCAACTGAACTGTTCTTGAAAATCCCCCAAATCAGTTTTATTTGTCTAGCCTAATGGTGGGTAGGGTTTGTTCATTTTAAACATGTGTATTTAGAGCCTTCTAAAAAAGGAAACATTGTGGAATATGAACATGGAACAGATAAAAAGGTGTTAAAATAAAGAGGGTATACCAAAATCATTCATGTTCCATCTTTGAATACAAAACAGTGCATTTCATTCACATATGATTTGTGCCTTTCATAGAATTATTATCACATTGCCACTTTATTTCATTGCACACACACATACACACACAGAGGAGAGGCCACGATGCACACATTCAGGCCCCTTTGACCAGCACTTTCCCCAGCACTGATTCTCTTTTAAGTCAGCTCTGCTCTCAGAGACCAGGGTGCAAATGGAGGGGAAAGTATGGTGTTTGTATCATATGGGTCCACACCAAAATTTCATTGAAAGGATATCTGATTAGCAAAATTTGAGAGAAGCTGGTATATGCATTTCTTTTACCATCTATTCAAAAAACTCCACAACACAGCTTGGACAAAACCACCAGTATCAAAGGTCCTAAGGTAGCATAATTTGTGTTGTGTGTGCTGCATTCTGACAATGCTATAAACCAGGAAGACAGTTTACTGACAATTCTGTGCTACCAGATACCAACCCAGGCCTCTGTCCAGCTTTACGTTGTCAACTCTTATGGAAACATGAGCAGTCACACAGCCTCAGAGGATGCCGAAGTTTGGATTGCAAAAGACAAGATGGACAGATTTCATGTTTTCATTGCAGATTTTTCTTTTGCCTTTTCAAACTGCTGAGCATAATTTTTTTTAAAGCAGGAAATACAACTAGTGTTTGTTTCTACCATGGCTTATGTTTTGAGATTTCTTCTTTGTAGAAGAAATGTGTTGCCCAGCTGTCTAGAATTCCAATCAGGATATGGTTTCAGTATGAAATATATTGCAAGAGTAATTTTAACTGGTTATAAGGAGGAATGCAAATAAGGCCAGGCTATTTTATCCAACTTTTACCCACAGGGAGGGTGCTCTGGGTCAGTCTAATGGGGCCAGTGTGAGTAACTGAGGTAAAGTTTAGTTCTGTTGCCCCCTCCCCATCCCCCAGGAAGGAAAGTAATTGTGAAATGCAAAGGTTCACATTAGTGAGCAAGCAGAGCTGTGGAGATTCTCAGTTACAGAGATTCTCAGAAATGAGTCACATGGCTGCCAGTCAGAAGTACTGCAGTCAACACTTAAAAGGGTGGTTCAACCTGAATTTAATGATTCTCAGTAATACTCTTTCTATGTGCAGCCCACCCCCACCACCAAACACATATTATTAGGTAACTATTAATTGAGAATTCACTCTATGGAGACCCAGGTCTACTACTGGTTAATAGAGGAAGATTCAAGGATGATTCAGGTCTTACCTTATTAGGTGTGTAGAGATTGTATAAGTGGCAGATATTTCAACTGGTATTTTATTCTTTTCATTCCAAGACTTTGAAATTTTAATGTTTGTGAAATATAATCACTGAGTACACTTCATACTATTTCTTCCAAAAGATGGCATTATATTTCTGGGTCTTGTAATAAATGGAATTTTGGAAGTTATATGTGCATGTAGTACAGGAAATTCAACTACCCAGTGAAACAGGACTGCAGGAGGGAATTATTTATAAACTGGGCCTTGAAGAATAAGGAGACATCTATCAGGCAGGAATGTTGTGTGTGGGGTGGGAAAGAAAACATGACAGGATATTGAAAGTAGAGGGATGAGAGTATGCAAAACTATTAAGTAATGCAACAGCATGTAAATATGGGAGTATAGCTGAAAATGAATTGTGAAGGGAATTCAGAGGATCTGAAGCTAGCTAGAAGGTGGATGTGAAACCAGAGTAGGACTCTGTGTAGACTTTGTGTAAATTCTCCTTAAGGCCGAGACACCATTGACTGTTTATAAGTGAAAGGAAAACTCACATGTTTTAATCAACTACCACAGGTGAGTCTGTTATGTCACTAAGGGATGCCACATGTTATCTCATTTAATTTTCTCAAATGTTTCCAAAACATTTCCTACTCCCATGCTCCACCCCCATCTTTACAGATAAGAAACAGCACAGAGAGTTAAACAAAATGCCAAGGACATATGTCTGATTTTAAACCTATAAACAGTCCGTAACACCACATTATGATGTTTTAGTCTCCTTGTTTGTCTGTAACATTTTTTAATCTTTCATTTTTTAATTCATAATCTTTTTAAACAACCTTAGAAATATTTTACTGTACTTCTACACAAAACAATGAAATAAATGTCTCAATATTTGTTGAAATTTTCTTGCACATAGAAAAAGTGTTGCAAATTCTATGTATACCTATACATATTTGTTCTAAAATAATACTGTTGGAATCTGCTTTTCTAATTCATAGTCTTTTTAAAAGAAAGTTTAGGTTTACAGAAAAGCTGAATGGAAAACAAAGAGTTCCCATATATCCTTTGTACTCTTCCCCTACTTCCCCCAACCCCCTCCCAGTTTCCCTTATTAACATCTTGCATTAGTGTGGTGCATTTGTTACAACCAATTAGCAAACATTGATACTTCATTATTAACTGAGGTCCGAGGTCCACAGTTCAAATTAAGTTTCACTCTGTTTTGTGCATTATACAGATTTTGATAAACATAATGTTACGCATCCACTATCACAATATCAAAACAGCACGGTCCAATGGCCATACACATCCCTTGCGCTCACATATCATCCCTCCTTCTCTCAAATCCTCTGCTGCCACTGAACTTTTACTGTGCATAATTTTGCCTTTGCCAGATTGTCATACAGTTGGGATAACTTTGCATGAAGCTTTTTCAGACTGGCTTCTTTCACTTAGCAATATGTACTTAAGGTTCTTCCAAGTCTTTTCGTGGCTTGATAGCTCATTTATTTTCATCATTGAATAATATTCCATTACATGGATGTGTCATGGTTTGTTTACCTATTCATGTATTGAAGGTCTTCTTGGTTGCTATAAATAAAACTGCTGAAACATTTGTGTGCAGGTTTTTTGTGGGGACAGGATTTTTTAACTCATTTGGGTGAATACCAAGGAGTGCAATTGCTGTGTATTATGGTAAAAATATCCATACTACATACAAACATAATAAAATATGTTTATTTTCATAAGAAACTGCCAAACTATCTTCCAAAGTGGCTGCACCATTTTGCATTTTCCCAACAGTGAATGTGAGTTCCTGTTGTGCCACATACTTGCCAGCATTGGGAGTTGTCAGTGTTTCAGATTTTAGATATTCTAATAACTGGGTAGGGGGTTCACATTGTTTTTGATTTGCAACCCTTTAATGATATATGCATTTTCTAACTTTTAGTTCTTTGATTTATCAATTATGTTATTTTTCTAACATCTGTGATACTGACTTAGAATGTTTTTTTAATTTTATTGTTGTTCAATTACAGTTGCCTGCATTTTCCCTCCACTGCACCTCCCTACCCCAGCCAAACCCTCTTCCCTCCCTTGTTTCCACCCTCTCCCTTGGTTTTGTCTATGTGTCCCTTATAGTAGTTCCTGAAAACCCTTCCCACCATTATTCCCTCCCACCTCCCCTCTGGTTACTATCTGATTGTTTTTACTTTCAGTGTCTCTGGTTATATTTTGCTTGCCTTTTGCTTTTATTGATTATGTTCCAGTTAAAGGTGAAATCATATGGTATATGTCCCTCACCACCTGGCCCATTTCACTTAGCATAATGCTCTCCAGTTCCATCCATGCTGTTGCAAAGGGCAGGAGATCCTTCTTTCTTTCTGCTGCATAGAATTTCATTGTGTAAATGATTTTCAAATTTTCCATCACTCACTTATGCATTTATTTATAAACATATATTAAAGGTACAAAATGTGCCAGTAATACTTTTAGAAATTAGATTATTATTGTTTTCTTCATTTTTAGTTTGTCATATTCCTCTCATTATTTATTTCACATAAACTGCTAACTGGTCCCTATCTCTACTCTATTCACCTTCTTGTAAACTATCTTTTATTTCTCTGGTGATAATTGGTAATTTCATTAACTTCCTGTTTCTCCCTTTAAAACTTTTATTATTATATATTCACAATGCCTACAGCACAGAATATGAAATATTGGTAGATATGAAACTACTAAAAATGTCTGAATTAAATAAATCACTTACCTTGGTTGACAATAAATCTTAGTTTCTGTATTGTTGCCAGATTGCCACTAACTCGATATATTCCATCAACATCTAGACCTGCAAATAAAAGGGCATGTGTTATATTTGCTGATATGAAAACTGAGATGGTCAAAAGAAAAAATATGAGAAGAAAGATAGTAGTAAATCACCACCAAATATTCTCCGTCACAGAGAAAACACATTCCTATGTCCTAAACCAAGCAAACTTCAATATTTTGATCCCAAAAGACCACTCATGAAGTTCAGTGACAGTTAATGATCAACACATCTGAGTCTAGTTGAAACGTAAAGGAACAGTAGTTAGAATGGGATTTCACAGCATATCTAAGATTCTTTCCCAAGGAAAATATGGGAATTAAATTGGGAGTGGGGTGTTGCAGGGAAGAGGAAACTTCATGTATTATTGCTCTTTCTTGGGAAGATAGAATAACCTAAGGTGTTTTCAGTAACATGTATTGACTTGATGATTATAGTATGAAGTTTCTATTCCAGATATGCAATCAGTATGATAGTCTGTAGTGTATTATAGTTAATGGGGTGCCCTGTTATAGGTGGAGAGAAATAAAAAGGAATCCTTTACAAAATGGTGAAATTAATTTCAGATTATTTTAAAACTGGTCATCTATAATTCAAAATAACTTATGCTGGCAATGGCTTTGGATAATCAACCACCTGCTTTCCACACATCTATTACAGCATATAGTTATTTATAATACTGAGTTATCAAGAAGATAAAGAAACAGGAAAATGAAAAGAGAAACACATTCAAGCATTATCATTGTCCCTAAAATATTGATAATATAATTTTAATGCCAGGAGTATATATTCCTTGATGTGTCCATGCCCTTAGGGAACTGGGGTGACATGACTGGCCAGTACAGAGGTCGCCATCTCAGCAGAGTCTCTAAGGCGGTGCAATGCTATGGCTGAACATTGTAATTTACAATTGTAAGTATTAAATAAATTGGTAGAAATTATTATCATAGTGTAATAGCATAAAGTCTTTGTAAAGCTCTTTACTGACATGAAATGAGCTTTTTTTTCATTGTTTACCATCTCTGTTTTTACATACTTTATTTTAGGAAATTTCTGTCATTGTGCAAAATATTTCATCAGTGAATCAGGATAGAATAACAAAACATTTAACATTGGTATTAATGGCATAATTCAAAAACAGTCACTCATTGCTTTTATTTTATTTGCTATTATTTCTTTTTAATTATTCATTACTTTTACAAGACTATCTTCTTAGGGCAGTTTTAGTTTTATAGCAAAATCAACAGGGAGGTACAAAGATTTCTATCACATGAGCATAGCCTCTCTCATTATCAACATTCCTCACCAGAGGAGCACATTTATTACAACTGGTGAACCTGCATTGATGCATTGTAATCATTCAGAATCTATTGTTTACATCCTGACTCAATCTCAGTGCACATTCTATGGTTCTGAACAAATGCATAATGACATGTATCCATCATTATAGTGCCATACAAAGTATTTTTACTGCCTTAAAGTTCTTCCCCGCAGAGTGATCTTCACAATGGTTGCTGCTCTTCTATGTAATAAACTGCAGAGTAACTTAGAATAGCTATTAGTAAATGCACTAATTAGTGTGAGTTTTGTATTTCTAGAATAATTTAATAATAAATTGCCAAGACTGTGTCCTTTCCTGAGAACTATGAATTTGTGAGGAACTGAAATAAGGTTGGATACTTAGTGTATAGTTAAAGTGTAAAACATAAACATTAATAAAAATACATTCTTTTTTCCTGATGCACAATATAGCTCCACTAATCAAAAGATACTCCAGTTTGTTTGCTTTAAGTACATTATACATTTCACAGTTTAAACATGACAGTCATCTTAATTAACATTTTTCTAATATTTGATTTCTAGTTTTGGTATAGAACCATGTTGTTATTTAATTTATGCACATATATCCAGAACTTTATAATTCATTAACCATTTTTTTCTTGCTTTGTCATTAGATGGTATTGGGTACTTAGTTTTAAACATCACTTTTAAAAATGTGATAGATTTTAAAAATATTACAACTTATCCATTCAAGTGAATGTGTCCCTTTCAAAGTTTTCCTTGTTGGGATTATGCTTAATTTTTTGAAACATGGGCCATTAAGGAAAATATTTTGGAATTCTCTAAAATCACCTTTAGAGGCTCCATATTATCTATAGAAATATGTTCAAAACAGCAAGTTTGGGGCCTTTCGTAATAGTTTTGGATTTGAAAGTAGTCAAAGGCCACTTAGAACTACAAATGGTGAACAACGCTTTCTTGCTTGCCAATACAAACAAAGTATGGCCAAATGAATGTGATCCTGATATTTTCCATGAATTATCAGTTGCTCTGAAGGATTTTGAGAAACAGAATATTTTAGAAAATAAAAACATCAATGGGATATGTAGGTCTACATTCTCCAAATGAGAAATCTTAATGCTTTTAAAAAAGAATCAGTCAAATTTGCCCTATTTAAAATAATGATTATAGATGAGATGTCAACTTCTATGATAATAAAAAAGAGAAAGCTTACTATATGTATTTTTAAAATTAATTTTTGTTTTCCTAATTAGTTGGACCCTTATCAGAGGTTATTAGTAAACGAAACTGCTTTAATTTCAACATATTTTAGTTGTAAATAAGATTCCTCTGAAACCTTACTTTAATATGCATGTCTCTTTATATGAGGTATAAAACCAAGTATATTTCTATTTTGAAACTAGGGCTCTTTTTTTCTAACATTATTTTATACGTTATTGAAATGCACATGTTGTCTAGAGTTATATACTGAATTTCAATTACTAAAATTCTTCAGTAGCAAAAATCTTTCTTTTTTCTCTTATATGAATTTATAGTTACACCATAAGAAGTGCCCCATTGGTCTTTAATAAATTTTGGTAGTTTTTTTTTTTCTTTTCAAGCTCAGTAATCAAAAACATTTGAAAGAGCAGTATGGGTTAGATATATTATGTATGAGCAATTGAAAAAGTGCTATACTATTAAAACAAAGCAGCCTCATCCTAAATTAATAACCTAATTATCTTTTGGGATACAAAGATGGAGGGGCTGGGAAAGAAGATAGGGAGGCTATCTCAGCCCAGTGCCACCACTGTGGTTGTAGAACTAAGTCACAGTGGAGAAGCTGCTTTGTGGCTTAACATAGAAACCAGAAAGTAAAAAGAAGTAAAGCAAAACATATTGAATGCAGTTTGAATCTGACTTCACACAACTTCCAAGCCCTTCAGACGCAGAGATATCGATACCATTTATCTTGTGAAGGATAACGATCTCTGACATTAGCGGCTCCTGCGTTCAATGGTTCATGCTCCCCTGCTATCATACTTTTAAAATTACATAAATAGAGTGAAAATGACAAGCACATATTAAAAGGGAGTGTATTACATTTTGCAAAATAATCTGGAACATATCAGTGAATTTTAGCAGTTATAAATTATATAGGGACAGTCAGGAAGTTGATTAGCTTTCCCCTGAATTATTCACAGAATGGCAAACCCCAAGGTTTGGGAATATTACCCAAATTACAATGGTTCACGTGCCATCCTCTTTTTTCTCCAAGAACTTTAAAAGTTGTGCCAAACCAAACCAATGTAAATTGATGGATTTGGACATCCTTCTCATGACCACATTATCCTCATTGGATTGGAAACTACTTATTTTGGAAATATAATTAGACCTCTTACAATTTTTAAATGTGCAATATCTTCAAGGTACCCATGTTGTACTTTGGTGGTGTTTGGAGAAAAATCAGTTTGAGAGGTATTTCTTTCAAGAAAATACCATGACTGTGAATGCTGACAGGAATTTTGCCTGTTATGCTAAAAATACCTTGGGAACACGATGAAACTATGTCATTTTTCATTTTTAAAAAATTGGACTAGCATTAACGGCAGCAATGAGAATTCTCTGAAGAAATCCACATTCACCAAATGTGGATTTTGTTCATCAGTGGACCTTCTGAAGTTTCAAAATAGTGTTTACCGTTGACAAGAATCCCCAGGTATTGCTGTAGGGGAGTTTCAAAAATCTTCCCACCCTTTTTCTTCTGAAGAAGCTTAGACTAGAATAGACACACAATTAGGAGTTATTAGACCCAATGATGGTCTAAACCCAATGGAAAGAATGCAGTTGCCATGAATAATTCCCACCATAAATTTAAGACACTTTCCAAAAAGAAATCTAAGAAACCAGCACTGTTTCCAGAGTTGACTGGTTTATCTGCCAAAACAAGGTAGTTTTTAACAATGCAGATGAGCCCATTAAAAATAGTTGCAAACTGTAGATTGGATAGCATTCTTGGTAGCACAAATGATGGATAAATTATGAAGATGTGAATTTTGAGCCTGGTTGAGAAGTGTTCCCCCAAAGCCTGCTTGTTTTTCTAGAACATAAAAGAAATGCATCAGCACCTCTTGAGTCTGAAATGTGGGCTGGGAATTTTGTACAAACAGTCCCTCTCTTGAGATTTATGGCACTTCCTAATTCCCAGGAGGCCAGAGCTACCGTAAAAACAGCCATTCTCGCAACACTTTGGTGTTCTGCTTTACCCTCTGGTAAGAACCTTCGAGCGCAGGAACACCCAGGCTGCCCTGAAGACTGCTGCACACTTCTTTCTGTCTTTCTGAAGGTCCTGCTGGGTTCAGAGCTGAATATGAGGGGAGGTTTTGTGCCAATCTGAGTGGCACAAATTTCCTTCTCTAAATTAATGTTTCCAATCTTTTATTGCTAAATTAATTGTTCACACACTTTAAAGTCAATGACTGAGAGTACAGAATATAATTTGAATCTCTAAATTTCATTTTGACTCTGTCTCAATGGTTGGTATTTATGCTTTATCTATTGCTGATTTCACTAATGTCTTGTGAGATGCCCATCCTTCAAGAATAATTGCCTTAGGAAATAGTTGACACAATTCTGATTTTCCAACAAGAATAATATTATTCTATATAAAAACCTTATGACTGTGTAGTAGGTATTTTAAATAGATTTTTTTTCACCATAAGGCAATGCACTTCCTTGGT